GCATGAGTAACTCTCTCTTTGCCTTTTTGGATCAGACTTCCATGCTTGCATCCGGTATTTTAAGGTCCAGCCACCTGAGCTAGATCTACCAAGCCACTTTCCCATAATTTTTTCTCTACTCTCCTGAGTCATGTGCTTTCATATTCCAAATTAAGGTTTACTCCTGTAAACCCTCAGGTTGCCATGATCATTGTAGTAGTTTCTTTTTTTATATGTGGCAGTAAAAATGTTCATTCTGGAATGTCTTCTAAGCCTGGATCTTCCGTAGCTGTTCTTTGTCTTTTTCCTTCTCTGCCTGATAACGTGTGTGTGTGTGTGTGTGTGTGTGTGTGTGTGTGTGTGTGTGTGTTTGTGTGTTCTCTGCATCATGTGGTATGCGTGTGTGGTACTGTGGCGGTATCTGATGCATGCTTATTGAGTGAATCCTGGACTCTGAAATTGGGGTAAATATAAAAAAAGCTTCTAGTTTTGGACGTTTCTTCATCCTAATTCAATAAATACTTGTCAGAGTCCTAATTAGTTGAACCGAAGAACATAAATGAGAGAGTTTCGCATTGACTGACAGGGAAGCATTGCACTTAACACATGGCCATGTGTTATGTCCGTTTTAAGGTCTCCAGGGGCCTGCGGGAGGTTTGGGTCTTTGAGAAAACACAGTTCTGCCTCTTCTAGGAAAAATTTTCTGATGTCAGGGTTCGTGAAGAACATAAGCATCAGAGCGGTGGACGTGCGGTCATAATCAAACTCATAATCGTTACGCAGTTTTGCTCCTGATTGAAAAACTTCTGTTGTGTTGACTTACCTTTGAAATAGGTGAGATTTTATACGTTGAAAGAGTTTTCTTCCTTTAAAAAATTTTTTTAAAGTTTATTCAGTGTTGAGAGAGAGCATGAGCAGGGGAGGGACAGAGAGAGGGAGACATAGAATCCGAAGCAGCTCCAGGCTCAGAACTGTCAGCACGGAGCCCAACATGGGGCTCGAACACATGAACTGTGATACCATGACCTGAGATGAAGTCGGAGACTTAACCGACTGAGCCACCCAGCTGCCCCTCTTTTTTAATACTGATTAACTACTGATTAAAAGTGACTTTAAGAAAGTGGAGGGTAGGGCTGTGGCTACAAGAATGTGTTGTATAATTTCTGGCCTCGTTTCTGAAATTTAGAGTTCAAATTAAGAGGCTCTTTTAGATAGATGTGGATATTTGAGGCCAGAAATATAAACATCTATGTTTGGACGTAGCTGCTCCTCACAATATCTGGGTTCTTTTTCAGTATATTAAACGAGAGGGTTGAAGAATTTTCACATAGTTTGGGACAAAAACAGATGCATTTTCACAAGTAAGAATTTGTGTGCTGCAGTAATTGAAAGCTCGTCAAAATAGTTTAAGATGTAGGAAACCTGAGCCATGGATGACAGTGAAAGACTTCTTTGTAAACCTTTGCTCACTAAGCATTATTTTTAAATCGTTTAAAAACATCTTAATGTCGGGGCACCTGGGTGACTCAGTCGGTTGAGCAGCGGACTTCAGCTCAGGTCATGATCTCACTCATGGTTTGTGAGTTCCAGCCCCACATCTGGTTTTGAATCCTCTGTACCCCCCTCTCTCTCTGCCCCTCCCCTGCCCACTCTCTCTTTCTCAAAAACAAATAAACATTTAAAGAAATATTTTCATATCATTGAAAGAAAATACTGTCAACACCATTTTAACTTTTTTAAAAATATTAATGTCATTAACATTTTATTTTTGTCCCCTGTATGGCCATGTATGCTTTTTGATGTGACTGGTATTTTTTATGGACGAAACCACACCGTGGTTGGCAAGCACATGGCCGCTCCAGGAAAGAGGGAAGAGAGTGTGTGATACCCGTACATAATGATCCCCTCTTTACCTAGAGATATAGTTGGATGCGGATGACACTGAAGTCATTAACAATAAACGTTTATAACACAAGCTGCAGCGACAAATGGAGAAGGTTATCTGAGGAGCAAATTCTTGCCCTAAGCCTTGATGCTCCATTTCTAAGGAAAAGCAGCCATTGCCTGGTCCCACCCGACAACTGTTAAGGGACAGCTAGGAGCATGGGGTGCCTGGTCCCATAGACTTTTCAGCACAGCATTGGGAGCTGTGGCGGAGAGACCTTCCGCAGGGCTTGGATCTTAGATACAGGTGGGCGTGGACTTGCCTCAAGACTTCAAGCCAGTGGTGGAGGCCAGACGGAGAGCCTGGGATGTAGAAAGGATCTGGAAGTTCCTGCGTTAACCCCGCCTTGGAAAGCTGGCTCTCCTGGGAACAAAGGGAGGGACAGAGGGCTATGGGACAAAGCGTGGGCACACAGCCGAAATCAAGAGGGACTGAAGGCGGCGGGTAGACCAGAAGCCCAGAATGCCGTCGGGAGCCCCTCATAGCAGAAGCAGAGGAAAAGCGAAACAAATGTCCTAACATGGGTGAGTCAAGGCCCCCGTAATGAGAGGGAACGGAACAACGGGGAGGGACATCTGATAGCAGAGAGAAGTGGAACATCTGTGAGATACTACATTCGTCTGGGCCATTTATTAAGCAGTTGACCCTTGAACAGCATTGACCTGAACTCCATCTACACGCAAATTTTTCCTGATAAATACGGGAGAGTGCTGTAATACATGTACTTTCTCTTGATTTTCTTCCTAACGTTTTCTTTTCTCTAGCTTACTCTATTGTAAGAATACCATATGTAATACAGACCATGTACAGAATACATGCTCATCAGCTGTTTGCAGGATTGGTAAGGCTTCTCCTGGTCAGTAGGAGGCTATTAAGTTTTGGGGGAGTCAGAAGTTACGCGCAGATTCTCAACTGTGCTGGACATTGTCGGCCTAAACCCCTGTGCTCTTCAGGTACGAGTGTGTCATTACTTCCTAAGGACAGTTCTGTATTGTCAAGCTGTGTAAGAATGACAGCTTAAACTTGTTGACTCTATTCACGTGAGGTTGTGTTATATAATGATTTTGGAATAATTCCTTTTTTTCCGAAAGGGGAAGGGGTTTTTGTTTTGTTTTTTTGTTTTACTTTTTTTAATGTTTTATTTATTTCTGAGAGAGAGAGAGAGAGGAAGAGAGAGAGAGAGAGACAGCATGAGAGACACAGACTGAAACAGTCTCCAGGCTCTGAGCTGTCAGCACAGAGCCTGACGCGGGGCTCGAACCCACGAACCGCGAGATCATGACCTGAGACGATGTCAGACACTTAACTGACTGAGCCACCCAGGCCCTCAGAGAAAGGGTTTTTGAACTTTAAAAGGGGAAAAGTGTTTATTTGCACAGTCGACTAACGTGCTTGAGTTCCCACTGGTATTGAGATGCTGGGGGGGGGAGGGTATTGATGTCTTATAGGAACTTTAACTTTTAATCTTGTAATTCAGGTGTGTCATCCGTCCTTTTTGGGTCAGGGTTACTGCTTTGTGTCATCCCCGTGGTTTGTGGCTCTGCCCTGGCACCGTGGTTGATGTGTGTTAATATGCATTAACTCTCTATACGGGATCTTTTGAATTCTTTTCCCCCTGAGCCAGTTTCCCAGCCACCATTAAAAATAAACGCTGTATTTTCAATACTAAAAAAATAAAATCATCTCCTGCACGTAAAGGGTATTTCCTTGTGCTTTCCCTCACATGCATACAGTGTGTACAGTGTTGATTGTTGAGCTCCGAAGGGACTGACAAAGGTTGGGAAGAGGCTAGTTCTGTCCGTGAGTGTTCGTCGCAGGCCACCGCGCATGGGACACATCCCTTCTTGGGGGTCAGCCCCCCACCCCGCCACCACGGGACGTGATACCGCTTGCTTCCTCCAGACCTGGCGTTCCCGGTGCACCTACCAGCTACGGATCCCTTTGCAGCCCGCGGTGACGGTGCCAGACAGCACCCTTATGGTCTCTGGGTGTTCAAAGCCCGCCCCTTCGTTGGTAGGGCAGTGGCGTGGGGGGGGGGGGGGTTGTGAGCGGTTCTCTGGCCCCGAGCGCCGCACCGACCGCGCTGACCAGCTTCTGCAGGCGGAGCAGCCCCAGCCCCGCGTGGGGAATGACATTGAATTAATTAAAAGTCCACTTTAGGTCTGCAGATCGAAGAAAGGAATAGATCCCTACATAGTCATGGTGCGTCTCCCCCCACTGATGTATTTAGAAATAGGATTTATTTGCAGCGATTATTTCCCCAGGGACAGGCTCAAATATATTTCTTTATCCACCACCGTTTGCCCGGACTGTGAGTTAGGAGGTGAGCTCCCTCTCAGCCAGGTGAATCGTGGCATCCGGAGCCCAGCCAGCCTCCTCTGCCGCCACGGGGGGAAAGCGGTATTGGAACTGATTTTCTTGAGAAGCAGTGGGGGGCTGTGTCTCCCACATAGAAGGTCTCTGTGTGCGGGGTATAAGACCGCCAGACGCCTATTAAACGGGGCTGTGGCTCCTCTTTAGGGAGCCGGAGTTGAGTTCCGACTGTGCAGGGCTGAGTTGGACCTTTACACGCACACATTCCCCGGACGGGCAGCTGACCACCAGTAACTGATAAGCTATAAGCTCTCAGGCACAGGGCACGGGGCGTGGGGACCAGACGTGTCACCCTCAGGGTCTCCCGGAAGCCTTTGGGAGTTACCTCCAGAAGCAAGAGGCCTGAAGATGCGCCCGCTGTGTGTTTCAGATGACTGATGGCCCCCATCACTCTGCCGTGCCTCGCTTCTCATGCCTGGGACGACCAGAGCAGCGCCATGTGTATTTTTTTTTTTTTTAATTTAGTGTCAATTTAAGCAAGACCACAAAGCCTTGTTTCCTTCCCCTGGAAAAGCAATTTAGCCTGCAGAAAATAATTAAATCCGCAGTATCTTGCGATCATGAGAAATTTGAAATGGGGGAGGGTTAATTCTTTCAATCCGATTTTAGTTACCCAATAAAATGTTGACGGATGGCGTGCAGACAGGGCGCGAGTTAATGTACGATATGGCCGCTTTTCAGCCTCGCTCTCCCTTCCCTGCAGGATCACGCAGATCTGAGAAGCCATTTCTTCACGGTCGGGATGAAGCTCGAAACAGTGAATTTGAGCGAGCCCTTCCACATCTGTCCCGCGTCTGTGACCAAGGTGAGCTTTACCCCCCTGGCTCCCCACCTCAGCCTCCCATGTTTCCGCTCGCAGCCAACCAGTTGATGCGTGCGGAGAGCGGTACAGGGCACCTGTCGCCAGCCCAGCCGTCACTGGTCGAAGAGAGTGAGGCTGGTCGCCTGCCTTCTGCTGCAGCAGGGATTTGGGGAGCACAGACGGTAGATGCCGGGGTCCCCGAGTGGCCGGGAAGAAGGCCCAGATGCACGCGGGGTCTGCAGCAGTGAGCTCTTCCTGCTGCCTTCTGCTGTTGGCCATGGCCACCGCGATGTCCCTGTTTGTTCCCCTTAATCTTTGACACGACGGGCTCGTGCGTCACGCGGTGTCCTCCGTGCACTGGGACCCTGTTCCTCGTCCACCGGCCGGCGTGAGTGATGCGTTTATAGTTTGGACATCCGAGAAGGCGGTGGGAAGCCGATCCCCATCTCCCTGTGGCCCCCTGTCCCCGTCTGCGTCTGTGTTGTCACTGGCTTTCATTCACCAAGGGGAGAGCCTTCTTCTCCGATTCTGATTTGAGATGAAATTGCCTTTTACTGTAAAGTCGCTGTCATTATGGTCTGACGGTCTTTGAAGATTGCGATGTCCCTTCACCATCGAGGAGGTCACCTGTGGAAGTGACACCGGAGTCACATGTTTCTACCTTGAGGGTCCCCTTACAGATGGTGGGAGAGGCCAAGACTCATTCTTGCCCAATGTATGTTTTAGTTAATGGCCTTTTGTGAGCGAACTTAATTAACGGTTCCATTTTAATTTCTTTCACTAAGGAAGCCTGGGTTTGTTGACACAGTGATGAGGGTCTCAAGTCATTTGTGTGCTCTTTTTTCTTATTCACGATTTGGTAAGATTTTAGAAGCACAGTGCTGATAATGTGATTCACAATATGGAAAGTGGTTGTGGCCATGGTTTTTCTTTTCTTCTAAATATTTTTTCTTCAGAACATAAATTGCTTTTATGTCACTGCTCATTTATTTGAAGATTAACTGGCCCGTGAGGAAAAAAAATACGGAGTGATACTTTGCATGGTGGTTTTTGGGGTTGCAATTTATGTTCTCCGCCATAACACCCTCTGGTAAAACCTTTTATATTTAAATTGACCTTTGGGGTTTTTCATTGTGCTTTCTGGTAATCGCACGTTTTCCCAGACTGAGAGGTGTTACCTTGCACGCTGGCCAGGATTTCCCTTTATTCCAGCAGCAGCTGATGCAATAGTGCCAGCTGCCCATTTATCTGCGTAAACGTTACCCTGTCCTCATTCTAAGAGGTAACAGTATCAGGGTCACCTGGTGTTTATACAGTAAACTAGATGGAGGTGCCCATGTGCTTGGTCTCTCAGCAGTGGACTCATACTTTTCTGCCTGCAAATAATTGTGATCTGTAAAGTTAGAATGTGACATACTAATTACGGTTAGCTTCAGCCCAGACCTCAGTATCTTGTTGGATAGGTTTGCAGTAGTTTAGTTTCACAATAAGTAACTCTTTTTCTTATGTTTTTATTATTGAGAGACAGAGAGAGACAGATCATGAGCAGGGGAGGGGTAGAAAGAGGGAGACACAGAATCCGAAGCAGACTTCAGTCTCTGAGCTGTCAGCACAGTGCCCTTCGCGGGGCTCCAACTCACGAACCTCAAGATCGTGACCTGAGCCAAAGACGGACCCTTAACCAACTGAGCCCCCCAGGCGCCCCGTACAATAAATAAGTCTTATTGGGGGTGAGGGCAGGGAGGATATTCTCTCTGATTTTTTTAAGCCACATTTTCTTTTCCATTTTGTTTTTCTCTTACCCTTTATACTAAAGATGAAGTACTCAGCCTTTCTGTTCCCCACAAACCCTTTCTGGCCCTGTGTTGTAAGACACGCGCGGATTAGACTGTGTGTTTTGGCCCCTTAGGACTTAGACAGGCAGGTTCAAGGTTCCCCTACGTGTTGTGAAATTTCAGGATGTTCTAAGGGAGTAGGTATTTACAATTAAACATAATTCTCTTAACATTGGGGAAGGCTTTAGAATATCATGTTTGAGAATATCACGCTGTGCCGGTACCACTCATCACAATGCAAATTTCATTTTTATTTTCCTCGGGGCTTTTCTTCGTGGCACAGCCGTTGAAGACACAAATAACAGGAAAGCCAATAGGTAAAGTGGGTAACTGTGTGTTAAATGGCCAACCTTTAGCAGTACAATGAGCTTATAGATTATGTTTTTGGTGACCCAGAACCGTACGGGATGGACAGATGATGGTGACGACAGTATCACCTGTGTGTGTGAATTATATTGTATTATTTAGATAAAGAACCTTGGTTCTGTTTCTTTCACGGCTGGCTCTGAGCTGCACGGTCCGGGGCCGGCTGGTTGGCTGCTCCAGGTTTTAGCCCTCAGACTACCGGTTTTGGACCAGAAAGCTCAGTGGTTCTGTACCACATGGGACACAAACCCTGATGGATTTGAAGAGACTGATGGACGTTTTCTTCCGAAGCATAGACACACGGATATGCGTTTTAATAGGTTGTAGAGATTCCTCAGTGCCCATCCTTACAGGGTCCAGTAGTATCAACAAATCCTGCCACAGAAGTCCAGGTTTTTTTGTTTTTTGTTTTTTTTAAATAGTTTTTATTTATTTCTAGGAGAGAGAGAGAGACAGCGTGAGCAGGGGAGGGTCAGAGAGAGAGGGAGTCACAGACTGAAACAGGCTCCAGGCTCTGAGCTGGCAGTCAGCACAGAGCCCGACGCGGGGCTCGAACCCACGAACCATGAGATCATGACCTAAGCGAAAGTCAGACTCTTCACCGACTAAGCCACCCAGGCGCCCCCAGAAGTCCAGGTTTTTAATACACATCTGTGTGTGTATACGCACGTGCACAAGATTAGATCCCATTGGCGTTTAATGTAGGCACTGTTCTGGACAGTGAGGATGTAGACAAAAGTCCTTGCTTTTACAGACCTTGTATTTTAACGGGTGATGGGAGAGAAAAAAGTAAGCCAGTCAAAAGAAAGGTACATGTTAAATGCTACGAAGAAAGACGCAGCAGGGAAGGGACTGGAGGAGGCTGGAAGGCCCCAGTGTGGGAGGGAAGGTGTGGTTGTAAATCCGCTCCAGGGAAGATCTTACTAGGAAGGTGAAGTTTGAGCCTTTGCTCCATAAAGTCTACTTTCAGAGGCGGATCTCAGGCGGCAGAATTAGGGCTCTTTACTAGAGTTCACGGAAGTGAGTATACTCTCCTGCTTTGTAATTAGGCTGCTTCCAGAAAATATTCTGTAAAGGAGGGGGCCAGAAATCCTAGCCTCGTAAGAGAGTTCCAAGCCAGATGGCGGAGTTCTCGAATGATCTGCTGTGAGGACGTGGGTCCCTGCTGTGGCCGTGGAGAAACCGCCGGCCTTCCAGAGCCCATCCTGGCTTTGGGTCTGGGTTTGCCTTCCTCGTGAGCTTGTTCTTTCAGCACTGACTGTTTACTTCTCCGACGTCACTGACATTGTTTTGTGCTCTTTCTTCTGAATACGACTCACTCGCTTCTCTTTCCGTTAAAATGACCGCAGTGATCTTGCACCTTTTGGCAACTGGATCAATCGAGCAATATTCCTTGAGGTGCCGGTTTGTGCCGAAATCCTTTTGATGAAACCTGTTGATTGCATTTGGACACTTAGGAGTGTTTTGTACTGGTATTGTGTGGTAATCCGGGGAATTAACCCTTGGCTCTGTGGTTGTGTTTTCTTCCAGGTTTTTAACAATCATTTTTTCCAAGTGACCATTGATGACCTAAGACCAGAACCTAGTAAACTCTCGATGCTGTGCCATGCGGATTCTTTGGGGATTTTACCTGTACAATGGTGCCTTAAAAATGGAGTCAATCTCACACCTCCCAAAGGTTCGTATTCTCTGAACGTGTGCAGGGCTTGGGAGGCTCGGGAAGGTGGTGTCTCCAAAGTGTGCCTTCAGTGATCTTGAGAAGTTTATGTTGTAAACGATTTAGATTGTGGGAAGATAGTGTGTCACAGGTGGCTCGACAGAGGATGCTGTCACAGCTCCTTCCCTCGGCGAGGTGCGTGACTTCGGGCTTCTGGAGAAGCCCCCCTTCGGTCCACGGTGGTTCCCCGTCCTCCGTTGCGTGGCAGGGCTTCTGGGCAGCGGTGACAGAGGGCACAGCGTCACTGAGTGATGGAGGCTGAACACTTGAGGGTGTCTGAGAAGTGGCCTTAAAAATGCAGCAACGTGCTGAAGAAGCATTTCTTCCGTGTTTGTTTCCAAGAAGTTAATGTCCTTCCCCAAGCTCCCTCTCTGATAGCCAACAATGTGATACCGTAACACATTAAAATAATTAAATCGGGAGCTGGGTTGTGCTAAAATCACTTCACCCCAGAAGCCACGAACCTCCTTCTGGGTGAGTACCTCGCATGCAGTTCGGTAATGTGGTTCACGGCCCCTGCAGACCTGACGCTCGTGCCAGATGGAAGGAGAGGAGGTGGGGAGGCAACAGAGGAGATCACAGAATAATGGAAGGGGAAACAGGAAGAGATGAGGGAAATGAACTCCCTGCAGCACTTGAACAGATATCTGCACAGAGTAGTGGGGGTCTGTGCCATCCTCTCCAGATGCCAAGGACACGATTGTTTGTAGGCACCCCTGTGTTGGGAGGGGAATGAATAATAAAGGTCAAGTTCCCGATGCCTGGTGGTCATTGTGTCCCCGCGGCAGCCTCTGATCTGCTGCGCGCCTGTCAGCCCCGTGCCTCGCTGGGCACTCACCCTCCCCTGTGCTCCGTGCTCACCCCCAGCTGCCACAAGGCCGAGTCACAGAGAGTTTATGTGACCCGCCAAGGCCACACGGGTGGTGCGTCTCCCGATTCCATGTCCCTCAGCCTCCCTGCGGGTGACTCCCGCCAAGTCGTGCGTCAGTTTTCAAGACTGTCAGTCAAACGGGACACCTGCAGATTCCACGGGTGCTCTGCGGGGTCAAGCCAGGGACACAGGCTGGATATGTTTATAACCGCGAGCACACTCGTATAGGTTTCTTATTATGAACAATCTGGTAGCCGATCAGAGAAGTCGTTTCCTGCATGACATTTACCAACGGGCCGCTCGTTGAATTTCAGAATCCCACGGACCATCTCTATTTCTTCCCGACTTCTGGGATCAGAGCCTTTGTGCGGATGGGTCCGGGTCATCAAAGAAATAAGTTTTCTAGATCTCTGAAGTGCTGTGTGGTTGGACTTTATAAATCCCTAGGCAGAAAGAAGATCCGTTTAAGAATTTAAAGAAAAAACTATGTGGGTATTTCCTCACAGGGTGAATAAAGGGAAAATATTCGTGGATGCATTTTGATTACGGGATTATTCCATTAAGCAGGGTTTTCATGTTTACCACTGCCTCTAGGTATTTTTAATATATTTCTTACGAACTTATTAAACCATTAGAAATACATTTTAGAAAGAAGACCATTAGCATAATTCAGATATTTATTTGGAAAGTAGGTGTGCCTCTGGATAACTGTGTTTCATGATGTTTGGAGAAATACAGTTGGAGAATTACAATTCTAGAAAATAATTTTCCAAGGGCCTGTGATTATTACAAAGTCTTGGCTGATTTATTTGTGAGCTCTCACCATTTTGGGAGAATATGTTTGCTGTATGTTATGTGCGTAGTAAAATCTACTTTTGCAATTAAAGTGAATTAAAGTTCAGAGGTGGTGGTGGGGTTTTTGGTAGCGGTAGTTTTGTGGTTTCCATGTGTGCTAATTTGTTATGTCTTCTGTGTCGATAGCAGGGCCGAGAATCATGTCATGGAAGTTTTTCAAACACTGTTCTTTATTAACCTATGAACGTATGCGCTCTTCTTATAAAAGTTGATTTTAACTCAAACCCTGAGCTTTGTGTGTACAGTATGTCGGACTTATTACTCATGTTGGGAAGTGAGTTTAGATGTTTTCCTGTGTATGTGCTTTCCGTGAATATATTACATCGTTTAGATTGCTGTTAGAACCATAAACACCACTCACAATTCTGCCTGATCCCCAGACCGAAGATACTATCGTGCTCATTCCCCAGTGGGAAGGAGCTGATGAAACAAAAGATAGCCGATGGTGTGGGAGATTTGCACAGAACAGATATCCATACTTACACTGTTTTGAATCTATTTCTTAAGTTAAACAAAAATCTGTAAAATCTGTCTCCACGGGGCGCCTGGATGGCTCAGTCTGTTGAGTATCCAACTTTGGCTCAGGTCATGATCTCGTGTTCAGTTAGCTTGAGCCCCACGTCAGGCTCTGTGCTGATAGCTCAGAGCCTGGAGCCTTCGTCGGATTCTGTGTCTTCCTCTCTCTGCCTCTCCCCTGCTCCCACTCTGCCTCTACTTTAAAAATAAATAAACTTTAAAAAATGTTTAAAAATGGGGTGCCTGGGTGGCTTAGTCGGTTAAGCGTCCGACTTTCCGACTTTCGCTTGGGTCATGATCTCGCGGTTCGTGGGTTCGAGCCCCGCGTCGGGCTCTGTGCTGTCTGCCAGCTCAGAGCCTGGAGCCTGTTTCAGTCTGTGACTCCCTCTCTCTCTGACCCTCCCCTGCTCACGCTGTTTCTCTCTCCTAGAAATAAATAAAACATTTTTAAAAAAATGTTTAAAAAGACTCAAAATAGTGAACCCTAATTGGTATCCTCTTTTCCTGAAGAAAACCCTCAGACACTGACTGATGAACGTACCCCATTTGGTCATCGGTTATGTTTGAGACATATTAGAGAGTACAGAAAACAGTAAATACACGTAATCTCCCGGACCTCCTGCCTTGAGGGGACAGGTGCTGGCATTTGGCCACATTTGACTCAGATTTTTTAAGAAGTGAAAGAAAGCATTATAGAATAGAATAGAAGACCGAGTGATTGCCATCTGTCACCTGTCTGTCCCGTCGGCGAATCCCGTCAGTGTTTTCAGGATCACGACCACCCTGGTCCAGGCCACCAGCAGCTCTCTCCCGGGTCACCGCCATGGCCTGCTTCGTTCCTCCTCCTCCGCCTCAGTGAGATGGCCGGGCTGGTGGCGTTCAGGTGTAAATCACACACGTCCCTCCTCCGTTCAGACTCTCTGAGACCCGGGTACCTCAGTCAGTGGGAAGTCCCGCTCATGGCCGCAGCCTTCAGTGCCCACTAGCTCCCCGCCTGGCCTCCTCTCCTGAGATGCCCCCCCCATTCCCGGGACCTGGCCCTCATCCCCGCCCCCCCCCGCCCCCTTAGGTTGTCTGTCCTTCTGTCTGACTGAGCTGTCGCCTGGCTGCGGTGGTCTTTCCTCGCTGTCCTGTTTAGCGTCAGTCACAAATCTCTACCCTCTGTGTTTTTGTGTCCTTCCCTGCGTGGCTTTGCTGCGCAGAACTTTTTGTCATCAGAGATACAAGTGCCGGATGTTTTCCTTCTTTGTCTTGGTTTTATGTGTCTCTCCGCTAAAGTGCAAGATCACCGACAGTAGGGATCTTCGTCTTGTTCTCCGCGCATAGGGTGAACTCTTAGTGGCTCTTAGTCCGTATTTGTTAGGTGTTGAATGACTTGAAGTTCTGCCTTCATTCATACCTCTCCCCTTCCTCTCTGCCGAGTCTCCAACCGCCCCACCCATCTCCTCCCACCCATAACCACCTTCCTCAAGATGTTATGCTTTTACTGCGAGACTTACAGGCTCTATGAGAGATTGCTTAACAACAGATTTTTAAAAAATGTTTATTTTTGAGAGAGAGAGAGAGTGCGCGCAATACTGGTGCGAGCACGCGAGCGAGCAGGGGAGGGTCAGAGAGAGAGAGGGAGACACAGAATCCAGAGCAGGCTCCAGGCTCTGAGCTGTCAGCACAGAGCCCACTGTGGGGCTCGAACTCACGAACTGTGAGATCATGACCTGAGCCAAAGTCAGACACTTCACTGTTTGAGGCCCCCAGGCGCCCGTACAGCAGATCTTTTTGGTAGGCTTAGAGTATCCCGCTAGGCTGGCTTTATGTAACTTTCATCTGATAACATTCTGCAGGTTTTTCTCCATACTGATGCGTGAAGATTATTTATTCATTTTGTCTGTTTTATGGATATGTACGTTAATTCTTGAAATCCATTTCGCGTTGAAAGGGATTTGAGGTATTAACTGTTTTGCCTGTTGTGAACGATGCTCAGAGCATCTTTGTACCTGTGCCCCAAAGTGAGAGATCTCTCCGGGGATAAGCCCAGAGACTGGCTTTGCTGGAGATCCATTTGGCCTCCGTCCCACTATTCTGTGATACACCTAGGCCTCAACACTGCCATTCTGATGGCTGTGAAATGGGTCTCCTTGTTTCATTTTGGTGGCCCTAATCTGCTCGTGCCGTGGAGCAGTCCGTCATTCACTTGTTCATGATTTATATTGCCCTCACTTCGTTTATTATGTTGCTCCCCTTTTTTTTTTGAGTATAGAAATATTTGTATGTTTGAAGATGAACTATCCCTTCGCCATGCACTTCACAGTATATAATAGTCCGGTCTGTGGCTCGTTGCTTCACTATTTCATGCTATTTTATATTATGTTGAAATACGGAATTATAACGTAGTCAAATATCAGCCTTTTCCATTATGATTTGTTTACATCTTTAGAAATTTTTTTTATTGATGTTCTTCTATGTTTTCTTTGAAAATCCCGCAATCTCATTTTCTGTCGTTAGCTGTTTAGTGTACTCAGAGTTAAGATTTGCATGGCACGAGGGACGAAAACAAGTTGATTTTATTTTGTCACTTAAGTTGAATCGGGTGTTCAGATTCAGCCATTGCGTCAGCGTCATTCACCGAATGGCGTACGGCCTCCTCCCTGATGGCTGATGCCCCACGAGCGCGTGTCAGGTCCTTTCGGGGCTGAGAAGCTTCTCTGTTCTTAGTTCTTCT